TGGCTCGTGACATTGTTTATCTTAACATATGATGCACGTAAGAATATGCATCCTACTGTTGTTGCATAGAATATTATATAAATGCCTATTGTGTCACGTGAGTTGGCCATGTTGTTTAGGTCTTCTATATTCATACTGCTGTTGTCCAATTTATTATAGAGTGAAATACTGAAGTCTCTATAATTAGATTTTAAAAACTTCCTTTAGTTCTTTCATTCATTGTTTAGGTGGATACACATGAATGACTGTCATCACAAAAGATTTCTCTTTATCCCTGATAATTTTCTTTGTTCTGATGTTGATTTTGTCTGCTATTAATCTGTCTACTTCCTTTCCATCATTATTTGCATAATGGACATTTTACAGAAAACATATAGGTGGATCATGCTGTTAAGTCAAATCTGATGATCCCTATTTTTCAACTTGTGTGTTTATACCATTTACATTTAGTTCCTCATATGACTAGGTTTTTATCTATTTTTTTTTTAACAAGTTAGATAGCAGAGGGAGGCAGGGAGGGGGGGGGAAAGGGGAAGCCAATTTTCCATCAGTTGGTTCACTCCCCAGACAGCTACAATGGTTAGGGTTGGGCCAGGCAAGAGCCAGGAGCCAGGAGCTTCTTCCAGGTCTCCCTTGTGGGCATTGCAGAGGGCCAATCAATTGTGCCTTCCTTTTCTGGTTTTCTCATGCCATTAACAAGGAGTTGGATTGAAAGCAGGAGAGCTGGGACTCAAACCAACATCCCTTGGGATGCCAGCATTATAGGCCACGGTCTAACCCACTGTACTTATTTTTGTTTTATATTTGTTTCCTCTGTTGCAATGTTGATGATCTCCTTCCTTTCCTTCTTTTGGATTATCTGAGTTTTTTTTTTTTACTATGATTTAGTTTTTGGTTGCATTTGTTTCGTTTTAGTTGTTGCTGTATGAATCACAATATATCCACCTTTTTACAATCTCCTTGGATTCGATTTTAACACTTCAGTTAAGATGAAAAGGTTTCCCAACCACACAGGCAGCTCTCCCTTCGCTACTTAAGTTGGGCTTGTTTCATGTGTACATCGACCTACATTAAAACCCACGCTAAAAATGTTAACTTTTGGAGTCTAGTGTAATAATTCAAATATTTACTATTTCTCTTGCTTTGTCTTCATCTTACACTCCAACTGTCCTTTTGGTGTCATTTTCATTTTCTTTCAATCTGAAGAACGTTTTTTTTTCCTGAAGTAGGTCTTCTGATAAATAATTCTCTTTCATCTGAAATATCAGTATTTCCCTTTGTCCTTCCTGCCTGACCCTTGGCCTCTCTTTCTTGATTCATTTACCAGTTTTATTGGCAATTCAGATCCACATAGGAAAGACAGAGAGAAAGATCTTTTGTCTGCTGGTTCATACCCCATGTGGCCACAATGGCTGGAACTGAACTGATCCAAAACCAGGAGTTTCTTTCTGGTCTCCAACGCAGGTACAGAGTCCAGAGGCTTTGGGCCGTTGACTGCTTTCCCAGGCCACAAGCAGGGAGCTGGATGGGAAATGGAGCAGCCGGGACACAAACCGGCACCCATATGAGATCCTAGTATGTGGAAGGAGAGGACCCCAGCTGCTGTGCCAGGCCTTATATTTTTCACTTTCATTTCTAAGAGTTACTTTTGTTGGAGCCTAAATTATTTATAGTTCGTTCATTTCAGCACTTTAAAATGTTGCCCCAATGTTTTTGCAGTCTCCATTGTTGCTGATGAGAAATATGTAGTCATTCAAACCAGAGTTCCCCTGTGGAATGTATCATTTTTCTCTGGCTGACTTCATGATTAAAAACAAAGAAAAACCACTTTACTTTTCAGTAGTTTGATGATCACATTTATGGGCATGGTTTTCCTTCTGAGTTTATGCTGTCTGAGGTTCAGAGTTTCTGGAATCAATTTACTTTCATTTGTTTTGTTCACCAGATTTGCAACGTTCTCAGCCACTTTCTTTTTTTTTTTTAAGATTTATTTATTTTTATTACAAAGTCAGATATACAGAGAAGAGGAGAGACAGAGAGGAAGATCTTCCATCCGATGATTTACTCCCCAAGTGACCGCAATGGCCGGTGCTGTGCCGGTCCGAAGTCAGGAACCAGGAACTTCTTCTGGGTCTCCCACACGGGTGCAGGGTCCCAAAGCTCTGGGCCGTCCTCGACTGCTTTCCCAGGCCACAAGCAGGGAGCTGGATGGGAAGTGGAGCTGCCGGGATTAGAACCGGCACCCATATGGGATCCCGGCGTGTTCAAGGCGAGGACTTTAGCCTCTAGGCCACTGTGCCGGGCCCCTCAGCCATTATTTCTTAAGAATTTTTTTTTTTCCTGAAGACTTTTCCTCCTCTCACTAGGGTTCAATGACACAAATTTAGATATTTTGATGTTACATAGGTTCCTGAGGTCCCTTGCAGCTTTCTTTTTCTTTCAGATATGATAGTGATCTACCTAGAATCACTGATTTCTTTGCTCTGTCACCTAGATTCTGGTATTAAGGCTACCTAGTGAATACTGCAATACTACTTAATTCTTCCATTTCACTCCTTCAAAAAAAATGTTTAAGGGCCAAGTGCCATAGCCTAGTGTCTGAATCCTTCATTTGCATCCTCCAGGATCCCATACGGATACCAGTCCATGTCCCGGTTGCTCCATTTCTCATCCAGTTCCCTGCTTGTGACTTGGGAGAGCAGTAGAGCATGGCAAAAGTCCTTGGGACACTGCACCCATGTGGGAGACCCAGAAGAAGCTCCTGGCTCCTGGTTTTGGATTAGCTTAGCTTCAGCTGTTGTGGCCACTTGGGGAGTGAACCAGCAGATGGAATCTCTGTGTGTGTATGTCTGGGTTCCTCTGCTCAGTGTCTCTGCCTTCAGGCGACATGGACCATGGCATATTACTCAATTCCTTTCACTTCAGCATCACTTAGTGAACAGTCAGAGCGCTATCTCCAAGGAGCTAGGACAATTACAAAACCTTCACACCATGCCTCACAGACAGCAAGCATCTGTTAAAGGAAGGAAGGCACGAGAGGATGCTTAACTAACTTCAATAGCTGTCTTACTTTTGAAGTCTAGGCAGCTCAAATTCCATTATTAAACTCAGACTTCATAGACTCTTTCCCATAGTAAAATAATCTTTATTGTTTAATTAGAACTCAAGGCACTTTTTCTTATCAAGTAGCTAATTTTTGGCTAACTAAATCAGACTTTGGGATTTTCACTTTTTTGTGTGTCTCTTCCAAATTCATTCAAGTCAAGGATCAATCAAGGCACTGTTTTGTTTTGTTTTTTTAAATGTAATGACTCTACAAACCTACATCAAGACCACTTCAGGTCACTTTAGGTCCATGACATTCACAGGACAGGGTGAAGAGTCAAGTGTACACAGATCTTGAAGAAAAAGACTTCTCACAAAAGCAGCCCCAACTACAGCTGGGTTCCTTGTCTAAAGCATGAAGAACAACTCACCCGTTATTTCAGCTGAGAAAACATAAGCCCATAAGATAGCTGGGTTGTCTAAGAACATTGCAAAGTTACTGAGACCCTGCAGAACCCACACCCATGCTTTCTGTGTACCTCTGACATCAAGAGTTGATAAGGCGTTGACTAACAAAGCAGGACCAGACTGAGCGGTAATCAGTGTGGGACATTGATCGGGAAAACAGCAGCAAAATGCACCCAGAGGGTAAAGGGACTCACTCTCTGCCAGTCTTTGTGGTTTAACGGATTTCATTACGTTTTTCAAGCAGATTGATTAGAAACATTTTAATGTGCTTCCTCCAGGTCGTCTTCGATTTGAACTTCTATCACACAGAATGTGTGGGCCTGTGCGCAAACCAGTCACCTCCCTAGCTTCAGTTTCCTCATTTGCAAAAAGATAGTGAAAACATTTACTGTGAAAACACTGTGATTACCAAATAGGGTAAAAGAAACAAAAATAGAACAGTCCTGCTCAATAAAAGCATAAAGTGAGTCACAAACGTGAACTATCTATGAATTTTTAAGTTAAAAAATGCAAAGAAGCAGGTAAGATTAATTTTAGTATATGTGCTGCCGAAGCGAGCACAGGCAAAATTCATTTTAATAATGCATTTTATTTAACCCCATCTATCCAAAATATTATAATTCAACACATTAGTATAAAATTACTGAGAACTTTCTTTTTAATCTTCTCTTTCTTTTTGTACTATGTCACTTCAGCCTTGTTGCATGTTCAGTTCTGACAAGCCACATTTCAAATGCTCAACAGCCACACAGCGCTAACGACACCACACTGGACAGCGGAGTCCTAGAATCCCGCTCACATTTAACACTTGCTTATTAGATTCAAAGAGTAATTTCTATTAGATAAATGCTGTAAGACCTAGGAAAGTTCTATGTAAAAACAAAAGGTTACATGTAAAATTCTCTCTCTAGAGTTTGTATGTTTATATTTTTGGTATAATCTGCGATAGTCTATGTAGTATATGAGAATGGATAAAAGAAATGCCCCCTATAATAATTTCCACATTACAGATGGTTATAAAGTTCTTAATGCATAAAACCCTTTGCACTTTGATGTCTTGGTTTACTATGTATTAAAAAAGAGACCTTCTAAAATATACACCCCTCTCCTTCAAACATTTAAAGAGTATGTTTGGTCAGAAGTGGTCCACAAGGAAAAAGTGGCACTAGCTGAATAATGAACTCTAAGCTGGGTGGCACCAGCTATGTGTCCCTCCGCTGCCCCGACCCCTACTCAAGCTTAAGGCCCACGATGGTTTACATTGCAAAGTGGCAGAGCTGCAAAGCACAGGATTACAAGACCCATTAGAGTCGCAGTCACCAGCTATTCAAGAACTATTCGTTCCTCTGGGTACCCATTTCCCAGGTGAACAACTGCTGACCCTCCAGGGCTTCTGGTGTTCAACACAAACATAAAGGCAACCTTATGTGTTTCAAACACTTGACCCACTTGAGAAGCAAAGCACTCAGTGTGTAAGAAAGACTCACATCTGGCATTTCTGTAGAGAAGGAAAGGGTCCTGGAGTTGGAAATCAAGGTCTTTAGTAATGGGCTCTGTCCTATTTTCCATGCTCAGTCTATTCATAATGGTGAATCCATGCTTTGGAGAAGCAGACCTAAAGAACGAGGGTTGGGTGGGGGGAGAGGGACAGAAGAAAAGACAAGTAGCTCAGTACACTGGACTCGCAGCCCACCTGACACCAGAGAGGTGCTCACCGCCCTACCGCAGGTGATGCACACCACACCTGAGGTGCTCACTGTACCACGTGCGCAGTGCTCAGTACATGAGCTGCTCAGCGTACCACACTCAGAACACATCCTCCACGTGAAGCGTTTGTCAATTGTACGCGCACAAAAGCTCTGCACAACAGCCTGCATACATATTGCGGTGTAGCTTTACTGCTGGAATCACCGCATAAATTCACCTGTAGAAAAACGTGACTGACATCACCATTCCTTTAGCAAGTGGGTGATACTTACTTTACCCAGTATTTTAGTGTTTATGGATAGCTCCTGTTTCCCTAAATGAGTTGGAAACATAAAATAACTACTTCTAAAATAGATCCTTTTAAAGAACCTTGATGTACATCACAATTGAACCCAGAAAACGATAGTGTTGGTCTGAGATTTGAGAGCTTCAATGCCTGTTAGAGAAGTGAAGGCGCTCTCACCCATGAACCTGAGATGCAGCACAGAGCAAAGGGCAGGTCCTTTCTTTTCTTCAGTGTAAAGCTTCCTATGTGAATAAACTAGTATAAATGTTCTTCTGAATTAAAAATTTGGCATTTGTGACTTTCCAGTGTTCACTCTATTCAATACATCTTGAAGCCTACTTGGTCACACAGAAACAATCTAAATGGCACAGTGTGTAAACTCTAAATTCACAGGTGTATTCAGCCTATACTTAGTTGGCAGCTATACAGTAATTCAACTGTGCCAATTCTGGTGACAGACGAAGCACCACAGACTTGTATGCTGGAACTGAAACCGAAGCAAGCGAGATTCATTTATTTACTTTAACCCAGAGTGCCAGGGTTGTCATTAACCCACGGGAATGTTATGAACCCCGGGAAGAATAGGTGTTTATATCTTCACTTTATGTTACCTCGAGGCATTTGGTGCTGACAAAGAAGCGAGAGCAGCCACACTACCACTTATGGGATTTTCTTTTGAGACCTTCAATTTTAAAATTAATGGAAGGCAATCCTTGTCTAGCTTATTTTTACAAAGAGGTAAAGTGGTGGTAGGCCTATAATCAATATGAGATACAAGATGGCAATCACTACTTAAGTTCTGAACAGGAAAGAAAATGTACTCCTGAAGAGATCTGGCTGAGGATCCTCCCCAAGCACCCCCAGTGGATGACCCTAGGAACCCTCTTACAGCAGGGAAGACATAGCAGGCAACAAGGACACATATTCGTGTATGTATTTTTAACAGGATCAGCTGTTTTTGATGCAGGAATCAGAATCTGATTCTTCATCGTGTCTTTATCACAATATCTCACCTCTTTAGTGGTACATATGCATGCCAGACTCATCTCATAGTTTATAAAATGCAACCAGGGGTTAAATGCGCCAACTACTTGCAGCTCTGCAGACTAAACCACACACTTGCTTTTGATCTTCATGCGTTTTCTGTCATTTTCTACCGAGAAATGGTCTCAACATACTAGAATTTGGTTGGGTCTTTCAGATTTCCTTTTTGGTTTTTTTTTTTTTTTTTCCTTTGGCATGGGACAATAGGTGTCTTATTCCTGAGAAAGTAGATTTGCACAAGAGATTTTTAAATGATGGCATTTTTCTAATTTATTGGCTTAATAGACAGATCCAGTGGAGGCTTACAGCATATCAAGAAGTACTTAAAAATATAATGCTACATTTAGGTACCAAGGAGAAAATATTTCTATAAATACTCTTCCTTACTGTAAGAACTCTAAAACTCCCTAAAATCAATCACGAATGCATATGAATGCATCTGTTCTCTCAGTTCTCCAGAGAATAGCACTTCTTGTGAGCAAAGAATGAGAACGTGGTGGGGCTGCTGCACAGTACAGTTAATCACTTGGCTTTCTTTTCTCAGCTCAAAGTTCTCAAGAATAGTTACACTCAATCTAATAAACTTGGTACGTTCTAGTCCTGCTGGGACACTCTGGAACTTAATGGAGGCTAATACAGCAATGACTCCCGGATGCTCCTACACCTTTTTGAGATTGTGAATCACTTGTCTGAGAGTCACCGTCCACTGCCTTCCTCCCACGCCCACAGCTGCTTGCACCTGCCCCAACCTTCCTTCTTCATTGACAACTGCCCTCTTGGGCCATCCTGAGCCTCTTCTGCCTGTGTCATGTCTGACACATTACTGACACGGTACTGCTCTGCTTGGCTCTGATGGCTGAAACTTCTATCTTTGCTGGCCTGAAAACCCACCCACCCACTGGCCTTATTAGCCTCCTCTTTACTGACACTCCTCCCAGAGGATAACTGTTCTTCCAAGAGTTCAACTAGGGAATTACTCCAGAAGACCACAAGTTCCTTGGGCCCAGACTCTAACCTGAGTGGCTGGATAACTCCATTTAAATGTCCTGTTATCCCCACATCATTACTCCAAAAAGCTGAAGACCTGTGCTCAAGTGAGTTTCTTGATTTCCCATCTTTCTTGTGTGCTCAATCTTCTGCAAAGCATTAGTGTGATTTTTAAAGACTGCGCCATGCCCTCTCACACTGGGAGCTTCACTGGCCTTTCAAGACCAGTCATTCTAACCCAGAGTCTCACCACGTATCTACTGTAGCAAGCATCTGAATGCTCCAACTCCAGCTCTTCTAGCATCAATGCATCTTATAAAGTAGACTGACTTTCCCCCATTTTCTCATAACCCTGTTGTTCTCCTGTATATAAACTATTTCAATGGTTCCCTCATGGTAAGAAAATATATTTCAAAATCCTCTGACAGCCCAAGCCAGTAAATCCCTGTACCTGTGCTGATGCATATAAGCAAGCGTAACCCACTAAAAAGTCCTTTTCCTTCTAGCTCTTAGAAGGTTCGAGGTTCTAGGCCCCACTTTTACCATTCTTCACATAAAGACCTCCTGCCCTCTCCGTGCAAGCTCTAGTTTATTTCTGAGGCCCACCAACTCTATCGCGACCTCTGCACCCTCAGCAGCCCATCTATTGCTTACAGCCCATCAACTGGCCTTTTTGGACCAACAGCCAGACTGCAAGTCCCGGGCATGGTACCTAAGGTTTGCCTTAGTCTAGTAACATCCTGCATTGTTGAATATGAATGTGAATGTGAATACAGACTCACGTGTGTCTGTATTTCTTACTTCCCCCAAAGGGATTGCAACAGGCTTCTGATTTTCACCTTTACACCCTCACCAAAGGTGCTGGGTGCAGCTGACATATTTCATATTACTTCTTTTGTGAATAAAAAAAGGTCTGCCACTGAGACAGCGGACACATTGTGTGTATTTACGACATTAGCAATGTCCAATAAAAAGAAATGACCATTAGCTTGAGTTTATTGAATGTATCCTCAAACATACTAGAAACTAGATTCTAGAGGTCTGGGAGACAGCTTATTAAAAAAAAAAATGAAATCCTGCCATTTGCAGTAAAATGGACTTAACTGGAGGACATAGATTTTAGATGATGCTTTTAAAAACAGCCACGGGGCCCGGCGCGGTGGCGCAAGTGGTTAAAGGTCCTCGCCTTGCACACCCGGGATCCCATATGGGCGCCGGTTCTAATCCCGGCAGCCCCGCTTCCCTTCCAGCTCCCTGCCTGTGGCCTGGGAAAGCAGTCGAGGACAGCCCAAAGCTTTGGGACCCTGCACCCACGTGGGAGACCCGGAAGAGGCTCCTGGCTTCGGATCGGCATAGTATCGGCCCGTTGCGGTAACTTGGGGAGTGAATCATCGGACAGAAGATCTTCCTCTCTGTCTCTCCTCTCTGTATATCCGCCTTTCCAATGAAAAAATAATAAAAATAAATCTTTAAAAAAAAAAAAACAGCCACGGGCAGGGGAAGGTTGATCAAGAAAATCCTATTCCAAGTACTGATTAAATAATCGAATATTATTGTATTTAAGACCTTTGCACCACATACTTGAATCTAATGACTACTTTAATATTTCATATTATTTGAATGTACTTAAAGATTTAAGTTCATCTACACTGAAGTTTAGATTATATTCTAAAAACAATACTCATCAGAATACGTAAGTATTCCCTCCATCTTATCAACTAGCAATTTACTTCCCTGAAATAAAACTATAGTTGAAGCATTAAAATATTATACCAAAGACTGTCAGTTTCTTTGTAAAAGGCTCTTACCTTGTATAAACAAACAAGGTTCCTTCCACATCAGTCTTCTCCTAAAAATAAACACAAAACAGAATGGCTTAAGCATGTCTTCACGCACGCATGCAGAGTAGACCAGGAATCACATCCCATTGCAAACGACAGGAAGAACTGTTCTCGGGGAAAAGAGAAATTAAGTTATCTGCCCCAGCTGTAGCTCTGTTCACAAACAGCAGGGTGCAGCTGTTCCTCTGTCCCTAGCTTTCCTTCGCGCGCGCGCGCGCGTGCGCGTGTGCGCACGCGCGCACACACACACACACACACACACACACACACACCCCAACACTCCTCTGTTGGAAACAAGGAGAGAAGCGTGCCCCATTGATTTCACTGCATCCACTGAATTGTACCCGTGGCAAGCGACACTCTACAATGTCTGTATTTCACAACCCTTCCCTTCTTCTCAGTTCATCCGACCTTGAAGAACAGATGATCTGGCAGTCAGTCTACTCTGAATGCTGGAAATCAAAGGGCGAATCATCCTGCACCTGTTTTCTGCAGAGTTAATCATCTACTGAGTGTGGAACACTGAGGGCCAAACTCCCACCCAAGACCTCTGAAGTGAAGTTAGACAAAAAGCACTCCTCAGGAAACCTGCCCAAGATCTAGGGGCGGGGATAAAGTTAAAAGGACAGTTTGCTTCCTGTATGTGGCATTGCTTGTGCATTTTTCCAAAGGAGGAACCCAGGCCATGATGAAAAAGTTTATCACAACAATGAGGATTACACAGATGTGTATATACACATGAGTTTCCACATGTTTAACTACAAATCAGAACCTAAAATATACTTTTCCTATTTACATGAATTACAATATTCCACTTTATCTCCTAAAAATATTTCAATAGTATTTATTTCCATAATTATTTGAAATGGTGTACACTGCACCTTCGGTGGAAATGGCGTTCTTTAAGAAAGCATGGTTCACATGTTGCAGTCACTCCAGCCTTTTTTCTGTCATGCTAACTTCATGTGTCTCCAAGCATGGTCCTGAGCTCAGCCACATCAGCTCCAACGGCGAGAACTGCAGATTCTTGGGCTCCTGACCAACAAGCCAGACAGCAAGTCCCGGGCACAGTACCTAGGGTTTGTCTTAGTCTAATAACATACCCTTTGCCTACGGGAGTGTATCGGGAATCATGAAAACAAAACTCACTTTTGCCCATATCATACCAGCCACTGTGAAGTGTAAATGCCCATGAAAAACATCATTCCTTAGCAACAGGATTTCTCATCTCAAAACGTTTAGTGCTATAGACTACAGAATTAGAAATGACTAGCATGACAATTTCGTTTAGCCATCCTTTTCTCTAACATAGAAGCCAAGGTAAGAAATAAAAGTTCATGCCTAAACTGACGTATGATTATGTTTCTATAAATCACTCCAATGTACTAAGGACAAATACGGCCTACTTGCCCTGGTACTTTGGAAAATAGCATGACAAAACAAAAAATATATATGGAGGGAGTACTTGCCTTTCTCTGTAAACAAACCTAGTCAATTCCTCTCTGTTGAGAAACTCATTTCCAGGTGTACTTGAAATGAAGAATTACTTGACCTCCAGCCACTCCAGTGCAATGCCACCGAGCCTAAGGATCTGTGAGCCCCTAAAACTTTCACTGGTGACATTCACAAGTATTGATTAGCCCACAAAACCTTTAAGGGAAAAAACTGTACAAACTTAAGTATCTGGTGTCCTCCATTTTATATATATATATATATCGCCCGGGGACTCAAGCCAGGATGCAGGGTTGGACTGCGAAGGCCCCCTGTGTGTGGGCAGGAGTACTCGCTACAAGGCCAAAACACATTTCTGTCTCCCCGTGTTTATAGGTACCAGCATGCAGAAAGCTAACGGTTTCTGACTTAGTCCCCTCCTTCCTGATGTCAACAAAAATTACTTTTCCTCCAAAAAGAAAAGCCTTAGTTTTGGAAAATTCAAATCTGAAATGTAAAAAATATATATATATATATACACACTTTACTTGGAATCATTCTTGAATTCACAACAAGTAATTCTTGAGACTTTGTTCCCAAAAAGGAAGTGCACCGGTATACCATAAAGGGTCTGGGGTGGGGTGCTGGCCTATCACCCTGGGATCACTGGTTTATTCTTTTGTCCCAGTTTCTCCACTGAAAAGATAACTAGCCTTTTACCATTCAAACCTTCAATTAAATATATATATTTATATATTATATATAATATTATATCTATACATACGCATATATAAAAAACACTCACTTAATACCTGGATAAAAGGGGTTTTAAAAATGTAAACTTTGAAAAAAAGATGTAAATTTTGGGTCCATGATGGCTGAACCAGTTTGAATTCTCTCCACAATTACCTAAGAACAACAGATATTTTCTTTCTCAGCCAGGTCTGCGTTGGTGTTTTGAGAAACGAGTTAGACAGTGTCCAAGATCTTCCCCTGATATTTCAACTAAAAAAAAGGTATTAATTTAGCTTACACTTCTTAGATGTTTTAGCATAAAATTCAAAAGAACAAACTTCATGATACAGTATCACACACGTCATTACAACAATCAATCAGTTCTTTAAAAAGTAGTTCACAATGCAAAATACAAAAACAAAATGTTTTCCAAATTATTGTGACTCAGCAGCGTTTGACGCGCTTAAGACAACTCAAGGCAATCTATTTTATTAGTTACTCTAGATTTTAAATGAGAAAGTGAGTCCCCATTCATCTCTCCGGATTTGTCTCCCAATCATTCCTGTAGTATCAAGGTCAACAGAATCAGATGCCTGAGCCTCACCGACCGAGGTGTGGAGGTGTGGGCTGCACTTCCTAACCCGAGTCACTTTCACATCCTACAGGTCAGAAGACCACTCTGCGGCAGCTTCCCAGGCTCCGTGTTTCTGCCGTCAGGGTGGCTGGCTCTGGCCTGCGAAGCGTAGAGTATGTAGCAGCAGCCCTGGCCTGTTCATCTTGCAGATGGGAGTGAACAAGTCCCAGAGGCAAAAGGAACTCCAGCTGAGAGGCAGCGATCCAGGACTCAGCAGTGCAGGAGCAGCAGGGCCGTCTTCTCCCAGTGACACATAGGCGCTCTAGGGCATCAGGGTCTTCCCCCGGCGAAGGGGAGTGGGCTGCTTCTAGTTCCTCCCTGCAGAGCAGTTCATCTGCGCACGCTTTTGTTTCTCACTTCTCCTCTGAATGCCTCAAGTCATTCTGCGTCTATTTCCAGGACAGGGAGGATGTCCACCCTCTCCACCCCACTTCCCTTCATGCAATACTTTCTTCTCCATTCTCAAGACCGTTCTTTCTATGTTTAGCACGTTGACATTCCAGAGGCTCCCCCATTCAGGGACCTGAGAAATGGCGTGGGGAGACACGGGTGTCAGTGTTTGCCCCTCAGCAACTGCGCCGCAGGAGGGCTAGGTCTTGTCCTCTTTCCTGGTGACCACAGCCTTGAAGAGCAACACTCTGTAGGAATGACCTGTTACCGCGTGAATTGCGCCAAGTCCTGGGGCCCAGGAAAGTTAACTCCCCCAAACAATGCAGTGTGACACTTCTGCCTTTGGATGGGGGCTGTCATGGGATGGGGTTGGGGGGGGGGGCTTCACTGTGTCAGTAAACCTCCCTAACCGTTTGCAAGGGCATCCATGACACAGGAAACAATTGCTACTGCAGACACACTCCGTTAATGACTTCCCAGCATCTTCCAGACACCAGTCCTGGAGTTTACATAAGGACGTATCCTTAAAGGGTTACATTACAGCTTTGGCCTTTTTTCTATAGAACAAACAGCCACGTGTAGAATGTCTTCATCCGTATTTTTAATTATCATGGAGGAGGTCTACCATGTCCGTCCCATAACCTTTCGATACAGACTCGGGCGATAAACTGCCTCAGAAATTAGGAGGAAAAAGCTCTGTCCTAATCAAGTCGTATATACTTCTTACTACAGGAAAAAAGGAAAGAGCTCCATTTCCTCACGGTTTGGCATCTGGAGAGCAAACCTCAATTTCTTATCTCCTGTCGGCAAATGTCCTCAGCAAAGAACTTGAGGCACAACCATTCTGTCACTTTGACTTCTTGCGTAAGGTCTCCAGGGGAGCTTTTACCACTGGCTGCTGCTGAGCCACGCTGGAGATCCACCGCCTTACAAACGTGTTTAAACACGGATGGATTTGTCCAATGCCCGATGTTTACAGATTCTGATATTTGCCACCAACTCAGAGAACACACACGCAGAAATCATTTGAAATCCAAACGCCCTCATAGTGCCCTGTAACTTATTTAAACATAATGGCCAGGTGGTTATAAAGAGGCAGGCGAATTTTATTTGGGATAAAAAAATCACTACGAGGCAAAAGTGGATGGGGTTACAAAAATTACGCGCAATCGCTGCAGCAGGACTCCTTCCTATCCCCCCCTCCTTTCACGAGCGAAATTAAATGGTACCCCTCTATTTCCTGGCATAGAGTTTTGAAAAAGAGCACTGGAAACAATGCCGCTCCCATAGGGACGCCGCAATGGGAGTCCGTGCGCTTGGGGCCGACTCATCTTCCCATTTTGTCTGGAATTCTGCAGCGCTTGCTCTTTTCCGCTTGGTGAGTCCCCTGACACCGCCACCCTCTCCCCATCATTCGGTCAGCATGTCCCCTCACCCCATCCTGCCCCTTTCCCAGCCGGGCACACAGGCACGAAACCGGGCTTCCTTTTCCGGAGCGCCCCGAGTGTTCCAGCCTCGAGGTGTCAGGTCCTTTCCTGCCTTCAGGTCTCGGGGTCCCCCAGCGGCGCGGCGAAGGGCCATCCCACCCACCCGAGGACCCCCGCTGCCGCGGGCAGCTCCCGGAGCAGCCTCCCTTCCCTCCCGCCCCGAGGTCCGAGCTCCGCAGCCCGCGCCTCAGCGTCCGCACCCCGCCCCGCCGTCGCCACCGTCAGCGTCTCTCCGCCCACCGGCTCCCACCCCAGCCCCGCTCGCCACGCACCCACTCGTTGGCCCGATGGCCGAAGGTGTACAGGGCCACCTGGCTGGCCACGTCCACGATGCGGTTGATATAGGGGTCATGGCGCTGCAGGGCCGCCAGGCTGATGTCGCGCCCCTTCTCCAGCAGGCCGCCCGCCGCCACGGCCGCCATCTTCCCTCCCGCCCCAATATCAACACGGGGTGCCCAGAAGCCACCCTCAATGGAGCGCAGAACGAGCGAGCCGCCGCCTCCCAGCGGAAACCCCGCGGCGACCACCGGTCCGGGGAGGCCTTCCGGCCCCTGGACTCCGGCCCACGGATGCCAGGCATCGCGAGTCGATGGCCGCGCGCCTTCCGCCGGGGATCGTTGCCCAGGGCAACAGCAAACCTCAGGCTTCCTCCGGTCTGGAACCTTTGCGCTTGCACGCGTGGTAGGGTTTCCCTTTTGAATGTGTTCGATACCTGAGCGTGTCTTTCCTCTGGCGCTTCAGTGATGAAAGCTACAACCGTAAGTCGCAAGCAGTTAGTAATTTTTGAGGAGAAAAAAAAAAACATACACCCCGAGCTTTTTGATTGCAGGAACACCCAACGATTCTTAAAATGGGCTGGCTCGTCAAAACCTGCTGCTGAGACTCTCTCAGGGGTTCTGCCATCTCACCACAGTTTTCATGACAGTATGGTGATGTTAACACCGATGATGCGAAAGCAGTGGTGGCTTTGCAGGAATCAAAGCCAGAGCATCAGACTATGGCTAAGATTCTTCACTTGTTGCGAATGCTCAGTTTAAGACGCTGAAAAGTGGGGCCGGGAAAGGGATGCTGTTAGATCATGCTGGTGCTTGGGTTCCAGTCCTGGCTGCTCCTCTTCCTATTCAGCTCTCTTTAAATGTGCCTAGGACAGCAGGGGACGATGGCCCTCGAGCTTGGGACCCTTTCGGAGACGCAGCTGCAGTTCCTGGCTCTTGGCTTCCATCTGTCTTCAGGCTGTTTGAGGGGTGAACCAGAAGAAAGGAAGATCTGTTGGCTGTCTCTGCCCCCTCTCTGTAATTCTGCCTTTCAAACACTAGCCACTGACGCTTGAGAGAATTCTCTGGAAAGCACGGAAAGGTGTTACTTTTTTCTGGATTCAGTCCTTGGGTACACTTCCTCTGAACATTCTGAATGATAGGAGAGCGTACGTGGAGAACAAGGCTGCTGCCTACCCGTGTCTTCTTGGTCTCCAGCAAAAATACTCTGGCGGAGTTGTGAGCGGCAATCATGTTTTAATTTTTACTTACTGAGAACACGATTTTTGATTGAAATACTGATGAGTAAACCACAGTTGTGTAGATGTGTATTTTACAGACTTTTTTTTTTTTTTTGGAAAGAAAGCCCACCTACCAGATAAGCCGGGGACAATGGCTGTTGCCAATGCAATTTATAAGACTTCCACGTGAGACGCAGTAGTTAGGAAATGAGTGTCTAGTGCCATGAACGGCACAGCTTCTCAGTGTTTATTTTCTCATGAGCTCAGTAGTGAAATTAATGAGCATCAACTTTGAGATGATCATTTCATGAGGATGTTAACCTGGGAAAGACCTGTTCCAGAGACTTCCGTGTTTTCCAAATGGCCAGTGTCTCATGTTTCGTAATCATGCAGGGGTTAAGGGGCGCTCCTTGGCTATCTGTGCCAGACCATGCATTGATGTGTTGGTACCTGAAGTGAACTAAAATGAAAGTTTCAGGAAGCGATGTTTACACATGGATCTTCCGCATTGTTCGAAATGCTGGCTGTGGCTTTCTGAACTGACTGTATGCCTGGTTCATGGATTGGGACTGTCAGTTGGCCTACAGAGGATCACAGTACCTGGGCAACTATGGAAAGCTGCAATGATGTTTTGGTGTCACTGGGTTCTGGTGGCTCCTGAGATGCTCAAGGTGCCATGTGGCCAGTGGAACACTTTGGCTAACTGTTGCACTTGTCTCACACTCTCCCAGGGTCAGCTCTCCTCATCCCGATGACTCAATAAGAACCCACATTTCCTTCACACCCGAGGCAGCACCACTTTCTTGTGGCCAACTTTTGGCCATTACATTCCATGGTCCTTACCCAGATCACATTACCTCATCATCTTTCCATCTTTGCATCTTTACAGTGTAGAGAATAGATCCTGGCCGCTAAAGGAGAACAAGCCACTTTGTGCTCCATAGAGCAGATAATGTGTACAGGGCATCATGGTCATGGTCGGCATAGGCGTCGGACCAGAATGTTCTGCAGCCAGTGTGACCTGCAGTACCACAGCCATGAATTAATCCCTGAGAGCACGCTGCCTGGAATGCATTGATCTGTTCCTCAGGATTTATTATCGCTCGTTGTGGCTGTGATGAAACTGCAGTGTCATTTCTTTCTGGGTCTCTGATCTCACAAATGTGTGAAGGATTTTCAAAAAGGCCATGGGATGGACACATTATGAAAGAACTATCACAACTTTCAATATTTTTGCACCAAAATAAACTTACCTTTTGAAAGATTTTTTTGTTGTTTTTGTTGTTGGAAAGGCAGGTATACAGAGTGAAGGAGAGAAAGAAAGATCTTCCATCCATTGGTTCACTCCCCAGTGGACACAATATCTGAGGCTGAGATGATCTGGAGCCAGGAGCCTCTCCCAGGTCTCCCACGCGGATGCAGAGTCCCAAGGCTTTGGGCCGTCCTTGACTGCTTTCCTAGGCCGCAAGCAGGGAGCTGAATGGGAAGTAGAGCAGCCAGGATACCATTACCCATATGGGCTCATGGCAGATTCAGGGCAAGCATTTAGCCATTAGGCTGTCATGCCAGGCCCAAAATAAACATATCTTTTATTTCCACGAACTTCTGAAAGTTCTAAAACCATTATCCTGCTTACTGGTAGATTTCACATAGGTGAACAATAAAATCAACATGATTCTCGGTAAAGAAGAGGGTTTTTATTTATTTATGTATTTTGTCCTGTTTAGAATTCATGGAGGAAGTGATTCATTTTCTCATTCTGCCTTTTCCTGTTGGAACTGTTTTCTCCCAAGCAGCTCACATGTTCCCATCCCTATTCCCCTTAGCCTGGAGGCTCTCTTCCCAGAACACTCCATCATCTCCCACACTCTTCTTTATTTTAACGAATGCTCGGTTCACTCTGCCGCTGTTCTTCTTGTGGTATGTAACTTGTGGCATCTCAAATTAGGGCGATTTATTCAGCTGCTTAGGTTATATATATATTTTCCCCTGAATTCTGCAAAGGATTTTTTTTTAATGCACTGTAATTAAAGAGAGTTTGCACAGAAAAACCTAGTTTGAAAACACTTACTGTAGGTCAATTTTGACTTTCTAGAAGAAGCCGCTGGATTGCAGCTTCAGACAGACCCAGGCTCCAGCTGTTGCAGCCTTTTGGGGAGTGAACTGGAGGATGGGAGAACCTCTCTCTTTTTTTCCTCTGTAACTCTTTAAAAAACAAACAAAAAAAAAAATTTTTAAAGCTGGCCTGTGAAAGCACCTGCCCTCCATGTGTTCTTCCCCTGACTCCCGTTTCCAGCTTCCTGCTAAGGCACTGGGAGCAGCGGTGATGAGCCAGGTGACTGATTCCTGCCACCCATGCAGGAGCCCAGGATGGAGTCCTCAGCTCCTAGCTTCCCCACAATCTGGCAATGGCAGCATTTGGAAAGCAAACCAGCAAATGGAAGCTCTGTTTGTATGACACCCCCTCCTCCCCTGCCACCACCACCACCTCATCTCTCCAAAATAAACCATTTAAAAATGTATACAGTTATACACAAATTCCTGATGTTAAAATAAAAGTGCACGCACTCTGGGTTATTAGGACTCTTTTTTCACTGCTGTGTGAATAACCTTCATGCTTTGCATTTGACTTGCAATAAATGTGTTAGGAGTCTTGGAGAGAAGGTGTTTCTGGGCTGATCATCAGAGGTTGGGATTCTTAATTCTTCTTGTGCCATCTGTATATTAGATATTTTATTCCTAAGTACGGCGGAAATCAAAAATTAACTTCTTTTCCCAAAGGAGGGGCACTGTCGGAAGCAGGTGTAATGAATTTTTTCTGGCGCATGCTCACAGTAGAAGGGGCAACCCTGGAAACAGAGGCTCATCTAACCTCTTCCTGTCTGTGTGACCTTCAACCTCACCTCTACCTTGGGGATCCCAATATGAGGTCAGGTCCTGAAAAAGCTTCGCAGTTTCTAACACATTCTCCAATGAAGAGGGCTGTTACTGATATTGATAGTAGCGTCATTACCATCTTCACTATCGTTGGCTTTGTCGTCATGATTTCCTTACAGCTTTATTGAGATGTAATTCAAATAGCATATTATGGGGTTTTTTTTCTAATAGAAGTCAATACTTAAATCATCTCTGCAAAATCCTTCAGTGGTTGTAAGAAATACATAAATTCTAGGGTCAGCATGAAAGCCTAGTGGATAAATCCTCGCTTGCATGTGCCAGCATCCCATATAGGTACCAGTTTATGTCCTTGCTGCTCCACTTCCCATCCAGCTCCCTGCTTGTGGCCTGGGAAAGCAGTCAAGGATGGCCCAAAGCCTTGGGACCCTGCATCCGCGTGGGAGACCCGGAAGAAGCTCCTGGCTTTAGATAGGCTCAGCTCCAGCTGTGTGGTCATATGGGGAGTGAACCAGTAGATGGAAGATCTTTCTTTCTCTCCTCTCTGTAAATCTGACTTTCCACTAAAAAAAAAAAAAAAAAAAAAAACTTAAAAAAAAAAAAACCCCACACACATAAATGCCCAAGGCAGCTTGTTCACAATATCTTTAAGTGGAGTCTTCAAAAATTCAGGGAGGATTGGGTGTTTAGGCCAGCAGTTAATATTTGCCTCTGGTTCCTGACTTTAGCTCTGTGCACCCTGGGAGGCAGGCGTGACAGGTCAGGTGCTGACCACTCCCATGGGAGACTTGGCCTGAGTTACTGGCCTCCAGGCACAGCCACCACCCTTGCCCGCATCTGTCAGGAGCACTTGGGCAGTGAACCAGCAAATAAGAACTCACTCTCCAACTCTTTCTGTTTTTCTCCCTCAAATAAATAAATGTTTAGAGTACATGGAAAATTCATATTATGAAAAAGCTGCAAGGATTTCCAATTTTTTTGCATCAAAATTGACAGCTTTTCATTCCATTTTCCCTGTTACTTTGAGGGGAGGGAAGGAAACTTGGGGAGAGGGAAAGGAGACCCCTGTGCCTATTAAACTGTATCACAAAACAATTTAGAAAATAATTATTGATTTTTTAAAAAGATTGATTTATTTT